GAAGAGGTAGTGATGGCAAAGGCTGGAATAGTACCAAGGCTGAAGATTAAAAGTTAGAAAGTATTTTCTGATTTACTCTTTTGAATTATTGTGGAAAAAAAATGAAGCTTCAAAGCACTGGCCTACAGAGCTGAAGTCTCTGATATCCTCTTTTCTTTGTGATGGGATTTCATGGCTCTGCACGGACGTGCTGCATGCACAGAGGCACACAGTACCTGTATCCATGGGCAGGAAATCTGCTCACACGTATGCTAATGCAACAGAGAACACTCTGTAGTGCTCTTTCTTTCCCCCATCCATTTTATTTTATTCCAAACCTCCAAGCTCTGTCTGACTGCAGCATTTCAGGCAGGAGCTGTATGCCTATGGGATGCAATCAGGGACACACATAGCTTATTTTCATTTTATCATTGCTATCCACTCTTAAGTCCAGCTATTTGACATCGCTCTGCCTTGCTGCCAGGAGTCACTTGAAGACAAAGCAAGAAATTTAGAACTTGCAACTACATGGGAGCGAAAGAAATTCTGGCTGATAGACAGAGAAGTGGGGAATGGAAGCAGTCATGAGTCCATGAGACCTGGTCACGTCTAACCCCACGCTCAGTTGAACTCTGGTTGGTAGGACACAGGGAAGCCAGGGGCAAACACCTCTTGGCCACCCCATCACAGGTGCACCAGCCTCATGGCTGGGATGTTTGGCTGCTGTGACACTGAGCAGCCTCCCACACATCTCTCAGCACTTCAGAGAAACCAAAATGCTTCATGCAAAGAGGCATGTTCTGACAAACACTTATTGGTCACCGCAACTTTTACAATTTTTTTCTGATGTGAGTGCTTACATCAAACAGTTTTGTTCTGTACACTCTCTACAAAGGTAATTCCTTTGAAAAACCTGCCTGTCAAATCCTCAGTTTTCAGTGCAGGCAGATGACCGTGGACTTGACCTGCTGGGCTGTATTAGAAGACAATCAGATAAGACCAGGGAGAGAAAGTGAGGTGTCAGTGTTAAATATTGTCAGCCATTTCTTCCATTTCTCAAGCACCTGCTCTGGTCTCCAACCAGGGGGAACAACACTGTCCTTGCTCTAGAAGGAAAACAGGTAAGTACTAATCTTCTCTCTATTCAGAAAATACCAGAGCATAGTCTAAGTCTTTAGAACACATGCATGCATTCACAATAGTGGCAAGCTGTGAAGTTTCTTTGAGGAGCAGAAAGAAACGAGAGAAGGGGAGCTTTCAAAGCTTTTCTTTTGCTACAGTATGTGCTGGGCAAAGTAAATAATGAGGCAGCTTCCCTGCTCAAATATATCATCTCTGTTCCATGGCTGAACACAGCCTGTTCCTTGAAACACTACTGAATCACTTTTTCCCTTTTTGAGCAGAGAAGCAGGTTGTTCTAGCACAGGGAACTGAAAGGGCACAGTCATGACCCAGCAACCTTAGGAGCTCAGGGAAATCTGATGTTCTTATGAAGACTGCAAAGTCAAGCAGAGTTGGTTTCCTGTAGGTAAACCACTTGAAAATAAAGCTGGTCTTGCACAAAGTCTGATAATTTCGGACTACAAGTCATTTCAAAAGAAAGCCTAGAAATGACTCACTATAAAAATCACACAACTGACATTTTAAGCAAAGTGAATTTCTGATGTTAGCTCTAGCAAAATTAAACAAATGCACCAGACTCCTCTTACTAGTTTAGGTTTGGGTGGTCTTTGATCAAAATATGGTTACTCGCATTTAAGAAACTCAAATTACCAACTTAAAATGGTGCTACTTGCTGCTGTTGTCAGGGTCAGCCTGTAGGACTAATCCAAACAAGATTCAGGTATTGAGAAATATTCGAGTTATATTTTACTTCCACTGGGGGAGGTAGGGGTGAAGGGATATTTAGAGAACAAAAGAACTCAGGGGTACAGAAAACAGCACTAGAAATTCAAAACTAGAAATTCCCCCTGCTTTAGCAATCTGTTATTCCAAACGTTTCCATGGCAAATATGGAAATGGCTGATTCTAGCCACAAATTTGGTCATGATTGGATGCAGGCTGTAAAAACATAAAATAAAATTAAAAAAAAAATCTCTATTTCTGCATCACTTTCCTAGTGGAAATCAGAGGCATTTGTGCGTGCATTATATGCTGTGCTGGCCCTCTGCTTTTTAGTGCTGTGGTTTTGATGGGTTTTTTCCCCCCTCATTGATTTATTGCTCATGTTTGCAGGAGAATATACAAGCAGCTTGATAGTCTCAAGCCCCTCTCAACCATCCCTCTAAGCACTAACGAGTAATGCACTAAAGAAAGGATCAAACAGTCAGCTTTGCTGGCCTTTGGTTCATAATGAGCTTTGACTGTTACTTCCTGATGCCAATACCTCAAGTCCTTGTATCCTTAGGATTTTTAAGGTGACAGTAATCCCAGAACCAGAGGGCAGATAAGGTTGGATGGGACCTCCAGTTCCCTCTTCAAGGCAGGGTTAACTACGGCTCAAGACTATTCACCTGTGTTTTGAGTTCCTCCAAGCTTGGAGACTCCACAGTCCCTCTCTGGGATCTCTTCCAGTGTTCAGTCACCCTCACAGCAATTTTTTTTCCTTATGCTCAAGCGGAATTTATTTTATTTCAGTTTGTGCCCCACTGCCCCTTGGCCAACCCCTGGGCACCAGAGAGAAGAGCCTGGCTCCAACACCTCTGCTCCCCCCACCTCAGGTATTCATACACCCTGATTAAGACTTTCCTGAGCCTCCTCTGCTGCAGGCTGGACAATCCCAGCTCTCTTAACTCTCCCTATACGTCAAATGCCCCAATTGCTTCATATTCCTTAGGGTCCCTCAGCAGACTCAGCTCAGTAGTCTCTTCCATCCCGGGGAGTCCAGCCCCAGACACAGCACTGTAGATGTCTCACCAGTGCTGCACAGAGGAGGAGCATCACCTCCCTCAGTCTGCTGGAGAAGCTCTGCCAAGCACAGCCCAACAGACCACCAGCCACCTTTGCTGCTGGCTCACTGTCAGCTTGTCCCCAGGACCTCAGCCAGTCTCCACCAGCATCCCAGGAACACTGGTCTGACATACAAGCGAAGTGAACGTGGTGGAAAGAGGTATTATCTTTTAGTAGGTCAGCTCAGAATGCTGGAAGAGGCAAGCAAGAATCCCAACAGGAAACAATTCCTAATGAAATGTACAAATAATCAGTGAAACTGCTCCAAGCCACTCCCAAAGCAAACAGACAAAACTCACAGATTGTCTGGGGACACTTCAGTGAACAGGGAAAGCTTCTGCAGCTTTACTGATAGGATTGCAAGTGTAAGAAGCAAAAATCTTTATCTTGCAGGACAGGGCATGTGGGTCCTAATCCACCAACACAAACTGCCCAATTATACTGGATTAAGTTTTCACGTTTGAGGCAAGCAAATGATGTTGTCCTGTACAAACGCACAATGCTGTTCTCTCTCCGAGACAAGGTCCATGCTTGATGGACCACTGCTCTCCACTAGACAATTTCTGTGTCACTCCTGCCTTTGTTGATTCAGGCTCCCCATTTTCATTAGAACAAGTAATTTAATCTTGTATTCTTGAACAGTGCTAATATGTCCTTTCCAGCCTTGCTGTTCACAGCTGGAATAACCAAACCAGCCCCTAGTCCCACTGCCAACACCCCAGACCCAGCCACAAGCAGGACCCAAGGGTGAGCAGCACAGGCAGAGCTGCTATGGTGAAGCTGGAAGGGTTCAGCACGGGCCACAAGCACCCAATCTGCCCTGACCCACCACGGACTGCCTGGTATTAACTCATCTCTGCAACCTCCTCTCTTTACACATGACCAGTTTATTTTACCTATTCTTGAAACAATGCCTGTTTTTTGCTTTTACTTTATTACACCAGAGAATTAGAGCTTCAGACACTGATACTCTGATACAGACACTCTACTTGGAGGAGCACATACCAGCATGAAAGAGCATTTGTAGAGGTGTGGATCTAGCCCTGTTACAACTATTTCTCCTTGTATTACGCTAGTGGCACCCAGGCACCACTAGCCAGCTTCTCTCTAGCAGAGAAGCCCCCACATCAAGCTGCACCAACAGCCACGCAGCAAACACGGGGACAAATGATCTTTTCTCTCTGCTCAACACTCGGGCAAGCACAGCCCGAGTCCTGGGGCCAATTTTGGACTCCCCAGACTAAGACAGACTTGAATGTGCTAGAGCATGGCCTGGTAGAGGCCACCAGGATGGCTGAGGATTGGAGGAGATGCTGAGGGAACATGTGGGCAGCAGCAAGGAGTCAGTCCATCAGGTAGAGGCGATTGACTATTTAACTCACAGACAAAGAACAATTTCAGATTGTATTCAAGCCCATCACACATTAGCTTTTCTCTGCTCACAAGGTGAAGTGCTAACAGTCAGTGTAAAACACAGCAGCAAACCACACAGATAACACATCAGAGCCAAGAGGACATAACCCTGGGAACACAGCTTTTGATAAATACAGTTGAACCACCACTGCTAGCAAGCACCAGCAAGATCAAATTCCATTGTAAAGGTTAAAATGTGTGACCATATCCTGGACTTTTACTGCAGGTGACCTCCAAGAAAAAGCAATGGCTTGCATCCATTAGAGCACAGAGCCAATCACAAGACAAAGCCACGGAGAACGGATCTCTTCAGCCACAAATTATCTACATTTAGTGGAAATCAGCTCCCAGGTTCCTGGCAGGTGGACAAGACACCCCTTTGTGTCACAACAGCCACCATGCCCAGCACATCCTATTCATTTCTTGTGTACTGCAGTGCCTAAACACAAGTTTCCCAGCTTCAGGTGTCACTCAGTGCTTAGACATTTACACAACTATTCTTACATTCTAAGTAATATCATACATGTCCCAAACAACTGCACAGTCATGGGGGCATTACAATAACACAGGAAGGTGAACTGTAAACCATGTACATACACTCTAATGTCAAATGTTACCCTACAGGTATCTGGAACACTGACTTTTGCTCACGAAGTAACCACAAACAAATCTCTTCACAGCCCTTGCTCACTTCTCTTTTGCATGATTAATTTGTGTTTGATATTTCCTAAGACAGTTTTCAACTTCAATTGCAAGAAAATCCATATCCACTTGCAGTTCAAAACCATATATACGAGCAACAGATCCAGGGGAAATAGAGACCTCCCTAGAAACACCAAGAGACTGTAAAATGCAGAGGTTTTGGCAGGGAATATTTCTAAATAGCACAAAAATTGCTGAAGTTATAGAGCTTTTCCTTTTGTTTTCTAAACAGTACTCGTTCTGTAAGGTATGGATGTGCCCCTGACAGTGCTTTCAACTTTCTGCTCAGCTACACCCTGGATTTTTTGAATTAACCCTGATGAAAACTGAGCAAAGCTCAAATAAATACCACACAAACCAGACCTCCTGAAAAATCAGTATTTATTGGCAGTACTTATGGATTTAAGGATTAAAATCCCTGGAATTGCTGCCTACTTTCTCATTTTTCATAAGCTTCTGCTTCTCTCCTTCTTTACAAAAGCATCTTAATTTTTTCCCCTCTTGCTAATCTTTATAAAACACACATCATTAGTACTGCATGCTTGGTGTTGGATTACTGAATGTGCAATACTGACTCTAACAAGACTTCCTGAGACAAACACGAAGATATTGGGAAGAATTTGCTGTATATCTACATTTTATTCCCTCTTCAAAGGGGTTTTTACAGCACGAGATTTGGAAATAAACAGGTCTCTTCTGCAAGTGCTATGCATATGAAGCCATTGAGTTTCCCCTCCTCATACATGCCTGCATGAAGGATTACAGCATTTCTGATTCTTTTCAACCCCCAAGTCCCTCCACAGCAATTTCCTCATGCCCACGTTTTCTCCATCACCTAGCATCCCACTCTCCTCTGCAAATTACCCCTCACAAAAACACTGCCAGGTAACTCACAAGTGGCACATGTTCATTTTCTCCTCCCTTCCCCACGCAAATGTCTCCCACAGCAAACAAACCAAAGGGACAGGAAAAGCATAACAGGAGGTCTTACCTTTTGATGGCCTTCTTTGTTTCGTTTGTAGAGACGAGAAAGTACCCATGACAGCGCCCATTGCAAAAGCTACTCGTGAGTTTTTGGGGAGGATTTATTTTGGGTGGGATTTTTTTTTTATTCCTCTTACCCCACCCCTCCACTGACAGTGAACAAAATCTATGTGAAATGCCCCCAAGAACAAAATAAAACAGAGGAAGTCCAGACAAGAAAGAAAAGAAGGAAGGAGGAGGGAAAAAGCAAAGCACTGCAGCTCGGCATTCAGCAAGCGTTAAGCTTTGAGGGTTTTTTTTAAGTCAACACACATGCACTGACTCACAGCCGGCTGCACTGTTATTATTCAAAACAGCTCCCCATCAAAATTTAAATGCTAGGTAGATTCCCTCAGACCAGAGCTGGCAGCAGATGCATCAAAATATTTACTGGAGCACAGCCACATAAACACACAGGCTGATTCTTCCTCCCATTCCCTTATGGCTCCAACCAGCAGCCTGTAGGGCTAGCGAGGGAGCATCAGTGCAGCTCTTCCAGTGAATACTAAACTGGAGTCCTGTAGACACGCTGGGGGTCTCAGGGGGAAGCCAGGGCTTTGGGCTGGATACCAACAAGGAATGAATGGAAATCTTCTGAGCGGGAAGCAATAGTGAGCAAGGCATCAAAGCCCCAGCTGCACGGGCTGTGTGCTCCTGCTAATTAAGAGTCTGACAGAAAGGTAGAAAGCAGCATCCTCCAAAAGTCTTCTCGAGCAGAAAAGAGTCAGAGAAAAATTATTAAGTGCAAAGGGGGGGAAATAGAAAATTTCACCACAAACCTTTTCCTGCATATCTTTTCTCAAACACCAGAAAGACAAGCAAGACAATTAACATTTTTCTGCCAACTATGTACGTGCACATCCTTTTCAAGGATAGTAAAACAAAAAACTGTTGAAGCAAAACTCTACAAACATCGAGTGATTAGGAGGAGGTAGAACAATTCCCAGCATGTTTTTCAGTTCTGTCATATTTCCAAAAACCAGCTAGATATCTGGTTATTTTTCCTCAGAATGTGAAATAGCAAGTACTTAGGTACAGAAGGAGTTAAATACACAGAGGTAGTTCTCAGAACCCAAATTAACGTTCTACTTGCATATGGTGACTGAGATTAGAGCAGCATCTAGGCAAATACTGTATGTTTCAGAAAGAAGGCATTCACCACAGAACAAACCACCCTGTCTCAACAAGCTTCCTCAGCTTTCCTCACCGTTTGCAGTAGATTCCCTCAGATGCAGAACGCAGCTCCCCACACGCTGGTGTGTCCCTGGAGGCACAGCGCTGCCTTAGCCGCTGCTCACCTGCTGCCAGCATCTGTCTTTGCATGCACAGGTAAATTTGCATCCTTAGTGTATACCAGCAAAGAGCTTCCCCTTAGTTTCTAGTTGCAGAAGGCATTGCACAAAATAATTTATTCTTTCTTGTTTTATAGCTCAGAACACATCACTTGAACTTTTTGTGATAAATGCCTGGGGAAAGGTACCGTTTAAATACCCAAGTCCTGAAACGAAACACATCAGTTTGCAGGGAATTGACCAAGACTGGAGGCACACAGGGGCCTTTGTCATAGTGGAAGGAGCCTATCCTGGCTCATGCAACATTCCCTACCTTCCATCCATCCCCCACTCCTTCCCCCAGGCTGGCCATAGCTGAGGTCCCACTGTCCCTGCTTCTCCAGCCATCCAGTTCCAGATGGGGATGCCTCAGACTACACTGATCTGCACCAGGCACTGAACAGCCGTGTGGGACTCTTTTTTTAAAATTCAAATATTTATATTTATTTTATAAATATTTTATTTACATTTGCAGAATAAAATATTATATAGGCTACAGTGCACATGTGGAAAATCCCTGTTGTTGGGATTTGTGCATTCAACAAAGGCTGGAGGATGACATTGGCTGTAGCCAACATCTCCAAGATGTCAAAACCAGAATCCTCAATCTAGGCAAACTGTCACTAGCAGAAATCAAGTGTTACCAAGGTGCAATGCCCCAAACAACGGGGTTGATGAGGTTTTTAAAAGGGTACATGGTTGTTCATATACGCTGAGTTAGACACAGGGGAGAAGCACTGACAAGACATTCTCAAGAGATCAAAACAACAAAAAGATCTTCACTGGCAACTTCAGAAAATCAAGTAACTTTGGCAAAAGGTTTAGTGCAAATTCAATTAATGCAAAACACTTTTCAGAGAATTAACTGGGTCCATTCAACATAGCAAACTTTAAGCCTGTTCGATTCTAAATTACTCAAAAATTCTAAGAAGAGGGAATTAGGAGAAAGAGAGAAAGACAGAAGAGGTATAGAAAAAAAAAAAATATATATATAGCTACCAGCTCCTGGGTTCCAGTGCTGTTCTTATAGAAATTCCAAGAGGAGGTAGGGTCAAGACATATGAGTGCCTCATGCCCTGTGGCCTTAAAATACCCCTCAGGCCTTCCCCCAAGTGGGGCTTCTGGTCACTTGGCCCCTCAGGAGCTGTGCTAGGGGCTCCAGGGGTAGAGTGTGGGGCATTGCATCCTCTGTGCCACAGACTGGCAGCCACTGCCAGGGTGGGGTGTACAGGGCAGGGCACTGCCTGACCTGCCCCAGCACACGTGCATCCCAAAATGTCTTGAGACATCACTCTTTCCAGCCTCTCACACAAGGCCACCAGTCACCCATTTCCTCAAGTGCACTATCTAACACGTTTTAAATATCTCCAGGAATGGTGACTCTCACACCACCCTGGGCAGCTTGTGCCAGTGCTTGACCATCCTTTTGATGAAGGAATTTTCCTTAATACCCAACTTACAGCTCTCCTTGAGGCCAAATCCTCTTGTTCTTATTTCTTGTTATTTGGAAGAAGAGACAGACCCCATCAGCCTACAAACTCCTTAAACCAAAAAGTACCTTGAAAGTAGCTGGCTTCAGGACTCCTTTTGACATCAGTTGGATTTCAGCCATGCAGAATGAGCTCGGTCAGGGAGTGACAGATCAGGCTGTCCATATGGTAAGATAGCCAAGAAGGAAGTAATTTAGGAAGACAAAACTGCACCCCTGATGCTGCACTGTTGTTTACTTGAAACGGCATGGCATATGAAGGCAAAGGGCAAATGTAAATATTCCGTTTTCTCTGAAACTTGAAAGAAATAAAAAGATCTGTGTTGGCTGAAAATCAATATTTACAGATCCCTAAGAAATGGGGATAAGCACTCAGACATATTTTTACTGGTATGACTCAAATATACAAGAATGGGGACAAGAGGAGGGACCATGTCTGTGCCTAGGCAGATGAGCACAGAATTGCAAAGCTCCAGCTCATAAAGCAGACATTTTCTTTCACAGCTGAATACCAAGACCTCAGAGGAACAGAGGCATTGTAAACAATAAAAAAACTAGAGTATTTGCCACAGCAGGCGGGAATTCTCTTTCCTCAAAGGATGATCTTTCAAATGTATCTACCTAGGAGAGAACATTTTGAGATGTAACAAATGCTGGTGGACATCCTTTATCTGAGAAGGTAAATATTTTTCAGAGTATTTCCTTTAGAGATAAGAAGCTGCCTGAGCTCAGACTGTGATGGTGAAATGCAGAGTTGTAGCTGTGTGAGTACCTAAATCAGCATCCTGGGTAAGAGATGCTAAACGAGGACCAAAAGTGCATCGGGGATGTACTGATGCTCTGCCTGTAAAAACCTACCTGCAGTAAATCCAGAGCTTGGTTTTGACACAAAGATGCACCTCAGTACATCAGCATCAGTCTAGCAGATCACCTGGGAGTATTTTGATTTGTTGTTATTGTGAATTGAACTACACTACATCTGTGCAGGATGGAACAGACTTTGCAGAGTGGACATAAAAATGCTTTGAAGTTCAGATGTGGCACCTGCCCCGAATATGCAACCAAAACCAGATTGTACCTGATACCTCGCTATAGCAACAGCAATTCCACACAAAAGCAAGCTTAGGAAGGGCAGCTGTTTATAAGTATCTATGCAAACAATCATGGGAAATTCCACCATCCCTATGGAAACTACAAGGTCAGTGACACTTCTGCCAGCAGTCAGTACACTAAAGTCATTCACCAAATTAAAACAAAGACTAAATTAAAGACTAACAAAGACTAAATGAGCATAAAGCCCATCACTATAGCACATATATATACATGTAATGTAAACTAAGTGGGCTTGCAGATGACTGAGAAAGTAGCATAATAGTGTGATCTACAAACTGAAACCTCCTTCCCATGAGACCCAGGGGGCAAAATAAGGTTTGTTCTACACTGCATTTCACAAAAAGAAATAATTTCAGGTAGCTCCCAAGCTGTTAAAATCACTGACATTTCCAATAAATGCTTTCA